TCAATGAAACATTTTTATGGTACGAGCAATTATTTTTTTTTTCTAATACTTAAGGAGAAAATCCTTAAAAGCTATTCCACATGAAAAAACAAATAATTTTAATGTAATTTGACAACTTTTATTTATATTTATAAATTTTTATTATAATTTTATTATTTTGTAATTTTTTACTGAATTACCAATTATTTCATCTATATTTTTAATCGGACAAAATTATAAACTCTTATCATTATAATTTTTAGACAAATAAAATTACATTTATCTAACACACAATTACCCTAACATGTAGTACACTCAAAAAATTATATATTATTATGATAAGTAAATATAAAATAAAACTTTGTAGGTATAATATTTTTCTATCTCTCTTTTCGTCGAGTTGTTAATTAATGAGACTTGAATTAATAGTCTACTTTACTCCTAACATACCCATTAGATCAACCCAAGCAATTTAATAAAGGGAATTAAGAGTCCTATGAAGAAAGAAGTGGCTGTGAGTGGTATCAACATGTGATAAAGGTGGACGTGAGTGAATGCTGTTTCTGTAGCAATGGAATATAGAATGATAAAGATAATGAATTGTTATTGACCTAGAGATGAAGGGTTAATTGATCTTCAAATTATCTCTACCAACATCTTTACAAATATTGCAGCTGCAATCGGGAAAAAAAAATATTTCACTTCTATCTTATTTTCATCCAACTCATTTTTTTCCTTTTCATTTTTTTTCTCAAAACAGACAAGGTAAAAGTATATTTCAGTTACTCTTGTCTACATTTAATATATTGCTCATAAGGTGTTTCTTGAACGTTACCGTGACGCTTATTTTAGTTTTCTTATCTTAAACAAAGGTGAATAAGAGCAAAGAAAAAAAGAAAGACAAAACTTCTATAAATATTTAAATAAATAACAAAACACAAGATTATTTTAGTCAATAAAGAAAGTTAACATATATTAATTTAGTTTATTAATAAAAAAAATGACATAAAAAGTCTCTATGTATACAAACTATTATAAAGGTGCAGTTAATGAAACTTTTGACTTATAAACCAAATTGATGTTACTCTCTATTGAAAATAAGTTGATGTTATTTTTATTGAATGAAAAATTAATTTAAGAGTTCAATTTTAGTGTAAAAATTTATATATTATTAACTAATTAAAATATACAGTAAATATGATTTTTATATTAATTATCATAAAAAATTTAAAAATTATTTATATGACAATTTATAATTGAATAATAGTGTAAAAAAGTTATTACACTGTCGATGCATTCAATAAAGTTAGCATTGTTCACCATCAATAATAAGATTAAATTAATATAAATTTTATTTTAAAAAGTAACTTAAGATCTTATGTAACATAAAATGGTGATTTAAATACTTGTCAACTCATTGTCTTTTAATTTTGTTCAGCATAAATAACAAATGACAAACATTAGTAATTCTTCAAAGGTATTAATTAAAAAATTAAAATATATTTAAAACATTATTAAATAGATATTGATTGTGATTTCTAATATACTTTTAACATAACTTCTAATAAAAAAATTCTCTTGTTGGTTAGGCAGACTTATAACAAGTGGAATGATTTTTTAATTTTGTCTGCATGCGTTATGTATATATATTAGTCATGTCATCTCGTCACTAGTTCTTGAATCTTGATGGCGAAGTAATATCTTTGCACCCTCTCTAAATTTTAGGGAATTGTGGGTTCATCAGACAGCAAGATCAAAGACATTATCTTTGTCAGCCCCCAACCAACAACTCGGAATGGTTTTCGTAACCCCACTTGTTCCCCACTTCTTATACTTCAACTATATATCTCTATATCTTTTCCTTAAAGTTGTTCCTTATTAATTGAAAGTGTTATAAATTTAAAATAATGGTTGCTTTTAGAATTACTAGTTGATCCTTTCGCAATTATATTCCAGTAGATATTATTCTATCTTACAAGAATGAATTTTAGGTTAAAGTTTGATTAAATGCTGTAATTAGCTATGAAAGGTGGAGATGGGTCATTCCTTGGAGTAATAAATGCTAGATCATAAAGCATGTATATAAGTTGGATGAGATGCCTATTTCTATTGCTTCTAAGCATTTGGTAGAGATATCTAGAGTCTAGCATTGCTTTTTGGATGTTAAAAGCTGAAACAGTACTACTCAAGTTGTAATCATGCTCAAACAATATTAATTGATCATGAAGTTAACTTTACATAAATTATTTATTTACCAATCAAAATGGTAAAAGGGAATGTACTCCAAGGAGAATATCCGCATGCTACTGGAAACAATGTCAAATAACAAAAGTTGTTTATTATTTGCAAGCGAAATTGGCTCTGAATTGCTGAGCCAAGGCGAAGAACTGATGATCATCATGATCGAGTGACAGATAAAACCAAGTCACAACCACTTTAAAAGAGAAGGAAAAGAAAGAAAGAGTGTGAATTACACACCAAAAGGCAACCCTTTTTTGTTCTTTCTAATTGAAAACGAGATTTTATTGAATGTCTTTCCACTTCATTGAATTTTATCAACTGATCCGAGAACTTTTACTCTTATACGCCTTTCTGGCTGATACATGCACAATGCAAAGTTGCACGTTTTAAAGATTAATGTGGGACATATATTTATACTTTCTAGCAGTAGTCGCTCAGAAATAAGTCTAGTGTCATGTTATTATATATAAGTCAATTGAATATTTTATTTATAAGTTAAAATTAGTTTATGCATATTAAATTTTAAAGAAATTAAATAAAAAAATTAAAATGATAAAAAAATACAAATATAATTATTTTTTGTCACCTATAAATACGTATGAAAGAGTTAATCCAAATTGGGCCGCAATTTTTTTTCTAAACAATTTAAATCATTCACTCACTTTTTTTCTTTTTTCTTTTATTTATGGCTGAATGAGGCACAGTTAATGTAAAGACATTTTTTAGATGTGTTCTTTTTGGTAATTGGTTTTAGATATGTTGTTAAAAATTAACATATGCCTCAATGTTGATTTGAATGCATATAGAAGGTTAAAAAAAATTTGGTACTACACACATATCCACTGTCCATGTCCAATGGGAAAAAGGAAATAAATAAATAAATAAAAAGAATAGAAATTTAACTTATACATTGTATTGTAGTTTGATGATTTCGCATTGAACCCTATCAGGCTATGGACAACTTCATAGGCAAAGGGTAAAGGTAAGTACATCACAACAGCTCAGGATGCATTATCGTCAATCCAAGTCCAACCTTAATTATGATAACTGCACACATTCAATTTACGATCGTATATATTTGATGGTAATAATTAATAAAACAATGTAGTTCTGTTTTTTTTGTTCATTATGGTGGCAATATTTAGTGGAATGCATAATGTAGTTTCCTAATTTGTTCACTACAGAAACAGGAGCACTGTGCCACGTTCCTTTCCTTCTATCACTGTCTTCATTGTATTCTAACCAAGGGTACAACATTTGAAGCCCCATGTTTAAGTGGACCTCAGTTCTTTTGTGATATGTTATTTAAACCCTCAGCAACTAGAATAAGGTTTATAATACACTGTTAACAACTTTATTATTATTAAGTGAAATGTATTTGAATTTCGTTAACAACATATACATCCATGCTCTACTCAATAGAAATGATAATTTTGAAATTTAAAAATTGAACTAATAAGTGTTCATAATTTTAGCTAGGGATCCAATTCACCCTGTGATTCTGATTACTTTGACTTGATATAATCAAATTATGTGGGTTAATTTTGGCATTTGTGTTATATTGGATCATAAACAGAATATCCTTATCATTATTGAATTGGGTATCAAGTTATACATTTCCAAATCTAAAGAACTAACTTGACTGAAACTAACTTTTTTTCTCTCCTTATTTTCCTTTTTTTATGTTATTTTGATTTTTACATTAAGTTATAAGCCTAATTTGCTTTTGAGAATTTATTTTTTAAAAAGTGATTTTGATTCTTTTCAGTGCTTTCTTTTAAAAAAAATTTTAAAATTATAAATGTATATCAACCTATTATTAACTCAATCTAATTGAGTTTAATCGTGTTAATTTAATTTTGAAAAACCTAAATTCAATCTAATATGATTAAATTTAATCAATTCAAATTTTATTTTATGTCAAACTCAATCAAGCATAATTTGTAGTCACTCCTAATTTAGTTTCCTTTATACTATTCAAGACATGTTTGTTTTACAATTAAATTTCAATTCTCTCTCTTTAAATAAAACATCTTCTAATACAATATCTCACAAATTTTTTTATAATCAAATCTCATTTACTATAAAATTCTTGCTAACCAATGTTTTTAGGATATTAATTAAGAAATTAAAAGTACAAAGTTTTTATTAAAAATACATTAGACTACATTAAAACGACACAAAAGATATATTTATTATATATTTTAATAAAAAAACTTAAAATTTTTCAACCAGCAGGCACGGATTAGGGTTTATCTTATGCTAATGTTAAATCAAACGGCCCATCGATCCTAATTCTTAGCATTGATTTTTTTCTTGGTCAGATAATTCTTCTTCGCATGTAATTGTTTTTGTCAGAATTCTTAGCCTTTTGATTTTTTGGGTCAACAGTCAGAATTCCAAGCTTGTGATTGGGCATTAGTTATACTCTGGTTGCTTTGGGCCATGCAGAGGCCCATGACAAAGGACGCGGGAGCAGCTGAACATGTTGACCAAATAAAAAAAAAAACAAAGAGAAGAAAGAAGTAGCTGAAGATGACCGTCCATTAAAAAGAAAAGAAAATTAGAAAAGAGAAAGTGAGAGATAAATGAGAAAGAAAAGAAAAGATTGATACCAAGTACGATCGGAATATTACAATGAAGAACAGACTATTCTCTGCACCTTACACGTAGTCAGAGAACTGACATGCTGGCAACAGCAACCCTCTTAAAAGAGGCCACGTGGCATGAAAAAAGCATTTATATATATTTATTACCTTAAAAAAAGGAACCACCGAAGGTTGTTGGTGTCGGAGAGATGAAGGGAGAAACGGTGACGCTGGTGCTGGTGAACTTGGCAGGAATAATGGAGAAAGCAGACGAGTCACTGCTTCCGGGAGTGTACAAAGAAGTGGGTTTAGCCCTTCACACTGACCCAACAGGATTGGGTTCTCTCACTCTCTTCCGATCCATCGTTCAATCTTCTTGTTACCCTCTCGCCGCTTACCTCGCCATGCGCCACAACCGCACCCACGTCATCGCCCTCGGCGCTTTCCTCTGGGCCGCCGCCACTTTCCTCGTTGCCTTCTCCTCCACCTTCTTTCAGGTCACTCTCTTTCCCTTTCCTTACATCATCGCTTTTACTTTCTGCCTCAGCTCTCATATCAAATAAATGTAATTCTTTATGTAATTTTTCTGAGACCGATTGTGCTTGAATTAGAGGAGTTCATGGTAGTTAATTCCGGCGTTTAAACGAATTGCATCATTATTGCTCATTTGTTGCTCCATGGTGTGTACTTATTAATGTCGTTGATGAGTGAATTAAAATGGAAATAAATATGTGCACCATCTTTAAAATATCTTTCTTTGCACGCGTTTAGGAATGAGGGGTGTGTTACTAAATTGTCAAACTATAAAAGCTTTCCAATGTATTTTGCAAAGTATGTTCTAAATTAGGTATGGGATTCTTGGGAATCATCAAGTACACTAACATAGTTTCAGCATGTCTTTTGTTACTATATATATATTTGTGATAGAATCAAACTCTTACATAACTTATAACTGTATGAATGATAGCTCTGTTTGAGAGAAAATAAGTAAAACTGGGAGGATGGAGATAAAAGGAAGTAATATTGAAGGTCAAAATGAATGGAAAGTGCATCAACCTTTCTTTCTCCTTTTTTTTGTCTCATATGCTCCCCTTCTGACCGTACCCTCAATCCATTTATTATACACTTACATGATAAGAGCAGAAAAAATTAGGCTTTAATTTATTAAGCAAAAGCATGCTTAAAAATGTATAAAAAATTGGTATACAAGAGACTACTCTTAATTTTCAAAAGCATGTTTTTGTATATTGGAATTTTTCCTTTTGGACCGGGCAGTAGGCACATTTATGAAGTTCTTGTAGCAGAATCAGTATAACTGCTATGCTATTGTAGATATATGGCTGATTGTATTCACTTTGAACTTTGAAGTCATTGTATTATAGGTAGCTTTATCGCGAGCATTTAATGGGATTGGGCTTGCACTTGTAGCGCCTGCAATCCAGTCCCTTGTTGCCGACTCAACTGATGATAACAATCGCGGCATGGCTTTTGGATGGCTTCAGTTGACAGGCAATCTTGGTTCAATTATTGGTGGTCTCTTCTCAGTGTTGATAGCTCCAATAACAGTCCTTGGCATCCCTGGTTGGAGAATTTCCTTTCATATTGTTGGATTAATAAGCGTTTTGGTAGGTGCTTTGGTGTACATCTTTGCCAATGATCCACACTTCTCGGCTAATGGTAAAAATTATACCAATCAAGTTTCAAATAAAACATTTTGGTGTGAAGTAAAAGATCTGGTTCAGGAAGCCAAGTCAGTTTTGAAGATTTCGTCTTTCCAGATTATTGTTGCGCAGGGTGTCACTGGTTCATTTCCATGGTCTGCTTTGTCGTTTGCACCAATGTGGTTAGAGCTCACTGGCTTTTCCCACAAGAAAACCGCTTTCCTCATTGCTTTGTTTGTGGTTGCCAGTTCTGTTGGAGGATTGTTTGGAGGTAAGATGGGTGATATCCTCTCCAGGCGTCTACCAAATTCTGGGAGGATAATTCTGGCTCAGATAAGCTCTGGATCAGCAATTCCCTTAGCAGCAATTCTTTTGCTTAGTTTACCGGATGATCCATCTACAATGATACCTCACGGTCTGGTTCTAATCGTTATGGGGCTATTGATATCTTGGAATGCTCCAGCTACAAATAAGTATGTATTTCAAACTAATCATTTTTCTGTCAATTTGCTTAAACAATTTCCCAGTTGATTATCCTTATTTGGTATAGTATTTATTTGCTACTAACATTCTGGAAACATCTTTCACTCCATCCAACTTTTGTTAATACTTAAGATGATTAGTTATGCTTATATGTTACTCAATTTATGTTATGATACATTTGGTGTTGTTTCATTGGTAAAACACATGTAGATACTGATATAAAGTCCTCTCTACTCTCTAAGGCCTGCGGTTGTGGTACTTGAACTTGGAATGACCTCCATCTTAAACTTTCTTACAAAAAGAGAGAGTTGAAGATGGAGCAAACTTGTAGTGTAGTTAATAGGCACCTTCAATTAGCACTCAGTATTCAACTGTCCAAATAATATAAACATTTGAAATTTGCTTTTCAATTCACTTTCTGAATTATTACTAAATTATTTGGTTTTGTACATCTTAATCAGTAGTTTTTTGTTTACTTTTCTGCAAAAAGTTCTGTGTGCCTATGACAGAAATTTAATGGTAAAAAGAGGATAATTTATTGCTTATGTTGTGATTTTGAACTGAAAAAAGACAGCTTTGTGTGATTTTAGTAAAACTTGTTCAAGTCATATGTTTATGCATAGGTTAATTTGTCAATTGTATGGGCATTAGTCCAATTTTTGCAGAGATAGTTCCTGAGAGATCCCGAACAAGTGTATACGCCTTGGACCGATCATTTGAGTCTATACTATCATCTTTTGCTCCCCCTGCAGTGGGGATTTTGGCTCAGCATGTTTATGGGTATAAGCCCATTCCTGAAGGATCAACTGAATCTCAAGAGATTTTAACAGACAGAGAGAATGCTGCTTCATTGGCCAAGTCTCTTTACACTGCAATAGGAATTCCAATGGCTCTTTGCTGTATAATTTACACATTTCTCTATAGGACCTATCCTAGAGATAGAGACCGGGCTAAGATGGAGGCTTTGATAGAATCAGAGATGCAGCAAATTGAACCAAATGGCTTAGTCATGGAGTCAGACGAATTGTCTATTGGGGACTATGATGGTGATGGTGATCTTGATGATGAAAACATATTACTCTACCCCCAGTTGACATCTTCCGAAGAATAGTTAACTCAAATACATCACAAAAATGAGATTGCTTGACCCAATAGAGACAGGTTTAAGGTATAATGTTGGAGAATTTTTCTGAACTATATTTTGATCAATTTTTGTGCATGAATCATACATGGACAGTGATAGAAAAAAACTGTATACCCCCTTCATAGTTTTGTTTTCCACTCTTTTGATGGAAGAATTTCCTTTCGTTGTATAGAATTTAAGTGTGTAAAGTGTAATAGGTTTGATAACAATTGAATGTAGATTTATTTGTTTTGGCCTATGTAATTGACATTCAAAATTTCTTAATGTCATGTATGGTGTGAATAAGGATGACCTCGGCTAGTCAAATATTGAGGAGAATGCTCCGAAAATCAATTTGATATGTTTGGCCTTTTGTGTATATTATTTCGTTCCCTATTATTTTCTAATGTATCTTTCTCTAAGCGATTCTGGGGACCAGTGAAAATGCGCAAAGGCAATAGAGTGAGAAGTGGGAATTCCTTGTAAATACAAAAAGGGAATGAAAATTGTCTATGCTTTGAATTATTGTAATGCCATTTTTTCAGAGTTGATCTCAATATTCTCTAAGAATAATTCCCCAGTGCCAAGTTGATATTGTAAAGTAACAAGGGTCTCATCAGCAAAACATGTTTAGAAGACATGATAGACTGAAGAGAAAATGAGGGAATTAAATCCTCAGTTGGGTTTTGCTGCAGAGGTTATAACGAGAGGTCCATTCCCACAGCTTCTGAAGTGATATTTCGGTTTCCATAATCCTATTTAGATTGAATTAGTGAGAGAGATTTATTCCCTGATATTTACCTTATTTTTATAACAAAATATAAAAAAAGTAAATTTTGGAATAAAAATGTCTAAGAAAAATTATTTAAGTTATAAAAAATGTATAATTAATTTAAAAATAAATATTTAAAATAAGAAATAAAATATGCATAATTAATTTAAATTAAAAATAAAAAATAAAAATGGAAGATGATATATCATAATTTTAAAAGTTAAATTAATCTCTTTTTTTTTCATTAAAGTTGAATTAATCTTGAAAGAACATTCTCAAAATCGACGAAAGCTCTCTACATCACAATATACATTTCAACGTTCGAACAATTTGTCAGACAAGTATATACTTTTGGGCAATGGAAGCTTGAGCCTATTCATAGTAAGTTAAGTTATAGACAGATATGATCTACACTCTAAACCCACCAATACTGGCTATTATTTATCTCCTATATTCGTAGTACATGACTTGAAAGTGGAAATTGATCTCATGGAGCCATATAAAGTTTTCTATGCTCGTGTAAATATCTTCAGTCAGCATGTGATTTAGGTAAAAAAATTATTAAGTTGTTCGAAATCATGTGATTTTAGCCACTAATATTATATCATGTGAATAAATTTTATAATTTTATAAATAAAAAAATTAATATTTTATAATTCATACGTAAATTCAAACACACACCTTGCTCGACTTTTTCCTCCCAAAATAGTGTAAGCTGCAAAGCTCCTCTACCAGGTTGTCGTCTGTGATGCTCTCCATCATTGTTGTGGGAGCATACGGTGGGAGCATACGAGGGGATTTCAATGTTGCCAGCAAATGTTGAAAAGGTAATATATTAAAATTGAGTTAAAAATTAATTTAATTCTATTTTAACCAAACAAATTGTGTTAAAATTTACATTTAAAAATAAAAAGTCAAAAATTAACAATCAGGCCTTTAACTTTTCTGAGTGTATTAATATCTGATATCCAGCAAGAGTTGGTATCCCTACAGGTATTGATCAATTATCTTTATATTTGTTAATAGAAAACATAAATTTGCCAATAAAGACAACGGGAAAAAACAAATCGAACCATAGCTTAGAGATATTACTTAAAATTAACAAAATCCTTGCAAGGATCCATGAGTAGATAAAACATATGTTTGCATAATTAGAAAAATAAAATGCAGAAATGAAAGATCAGGTGACAGGTTCGTTTTCGGAAACAATTACACACGTCAAAACATAGCCACTATCAATATTTTTTTTACATACTTTTTCACATAACTTTTCAAAATTATTTAATTTATACGGACGTAAGTGTTTTTAAACTTATATCTAATATCAATGGATCTTATCAATCCTTATATATATATATATATTTAGAAAAGTGACCCTTGTAGAGACACTCTTGTCATGATTTACAAAATCTGAACTAAATCCCAAGTATGTTTGGCATTCAACAAATTCTAGGGGCTTTAAAATCCCATCCAAGTGACCTAAAGTCGTCTATTTTATTCAACATGGGAAGACAACGATGGTCCAAGACACACCAAACAGGTAACACACTGCACATTATATAGTGCCTCTTAACAAGTACAAACACACACATACACAGGAGCATGTTAAGCATCATCGTGTCCTAAAAGTGCCAAAAGCATTTTCTCGTAGTCACCGGTGGTGTCCTTGACTATGGCACGATCAAGAGGGACACTGTTCCTCCTTTGATACTCTTCAGCTATAGTTTTCAAATCAACCTCAGCCCTGGTGGCTACCACTCTTGTAAGAGCTCCTTCATCTGTTCCTTGCCTGTTGATAGCCAAACGAACAACCTTGGCAAAGTACTTCTCGGGACGGATCAAGCACTTCACAGTTGCTCTTAGTAAAGCCAGGAACTCATCCTTTGGGTCAACTTTCAGGTCCTGCAAGATTGGTTAGCAATAACCAGTTCAATCTAATCAATTTCCATAAAGCAAATATAGGGTGTTGTTAAAACACGAAGGTCTAATCAATTTCCATAAGTGAGCAGTGGGGTGCACCACTCAAATTTGTAGTTTCCTTTTGACATGTTTGAAGAGTCACAAAGGAAAGATGAAAGGAAGGAAAATTAGGAAACAGGATGCATTTGGATGTCTAGCTTAATTAAGTGCTTATTCAATATATTTTTTTAAAATGATGGCTTATGCCATAAATTTAACATTATACTTACTGAAATAAGCTGAAAACAAGTTGATTTGATAAGCAATACTAAGCTTATCGAAATAAGCTACAAAAAGCTTATCAAAGTCATAAGCTGTTTCAAACAGGTTCATGTAAGGCCATCTTTATCCCTGGAATGCAGATTTTATTCTCTCATTGCCACCGGTAGTTAAAATTAATTAAAATGCATAGAGGAGCCAGTTTACAACTAAAGCATGGTTGCTTGAAGTTGTAGAAGCAACTAAAGCTCAACTGTTTGTGGTGCTTCAGAAGATCAAGATAAGAAACCTATAAAGAAGCTGTGTTATACTTGTTCTAAGATGAACTATGTACCTTGTTGATATCTTTTCCAAATTCATCTTTGTAGTGATTCAAAGTAGCATTAATCTGTGCTCGGCTCCTTGTGGCCAAAATCCTGATGAAGTCGTCATCATTGTAAGCCTTATTTGAAATCTTCTCATGCAGTAATTTTGCCTCAGATTTTGCCAGGGTCAAATTAACCTCATCTCCTTCATATCGATAGGAACTAACAAGAGGTAATAGGAGCTAGCAAACAAAAAGTTAGCTAAATTTGACCCTATCAAGTGAAGAGAGTGACAGAAAAACATACATAAATGAAAACACAAATATAGCAAATTCTTTATGTCAGAATGAAGCTCTAAATCATTTGACAGGACAACATATGGTTTCAATGCAGTTGAGTCTTACCGGTATTGCCACAGTTCGGAACATTCAGTAAAATTTGATCAGTAATTATAGGTACAAATTGTAAGCGTACATATCAAATCACAATATAGTTTTCAGATATACAAATTGGATCTCATTAGTTATGTTCAGTCATGAATTTCTATTGCATCAATAGCACAAGTTAAACATGATCTAGTATAACCAAACAAATTGATCAGAGAGTTTCACAGGAGCATATAAAGAGTTAGTGATACGAACAATTAACAGTCCGTGTCAATATACAACTTACCCACTAATAGCATGTTTGGTTTAGTTTAATTCTAAATAAGAAATCACTTATCTTTCAAAAGCTCTCTCCTGAAGAGAAATAAGCAATTATTTCTTTAAAATAAGCTGAACCAAACATACACTAAGTACTAACAATTTGTACTACACTAGAAAGCATTCCTGAGAACCCATGTGAGGGGAAAGTAATGCATCAATTTGTCATATTCATATTTATAGGCCAGCAGGTGATATGTAGAACAGAAATATAAAATGTTTGTTACGACCAATAACAAGGTTATGCATGGAATCAGTACCTTACGGAAGTCCCCTGTTGTGTGATGAGCAACATCCTCCTCAAGAGACTTCTTATAAAGAGCATGATAAGATTTCCTCGCATAAAACAACTGTTCAGAGGACCTAGTGCAGGCTATTTCCACCAGAACCTGATTACTTGAAGTCCATTTTTTAGTTGCCTCATTTGCCAAAAATGCATCACGTTCAGCAGAATCAAGTGTCCAAAGATGAACTAGCCTCTAGTGAGTAGAAAATTCAAAGGTGCATATCAGTTTCAAACACCCAATAAAAAGGTATGCATATTATTTTGTATTCAGTTTTCATCACCAACCATTTTGGCGTCATACTCCCCAGTTAATATCTCCTTGGGCCTAAAGCCACGTTTTAATTTAACTAAAATTGCTTATTTAACTTTCAATTAGCAAAAACTCTCACATGAAGATAAAACCATTGTCTTTCACAATCTCTTAAATAACTCCCCTTTTACTCACTAGGAACATGTTCTTGAGGTATGAAAAGGAAAAACTTTATTCCTGAACTGACCTCAAAGTCACTTGTGAGCTCTTTGTCCAAGACCTTGAGGAGATCTTCTCCATAAGTCTCAGCATAAGTTTCTCTAATAAGCTTCCTCTGAGCAGCATTTCGATGACCCAAGATCGATATAATCAGTCCCTCATTAGTTCCCCAACCTGCAATTACATTTGATTAATTGCAAAGCCATCAAAAGTAAAAACACAACGAATGTCTCGAAACCAAAAACAAAATCACAATACATGAACTGCATGGGCATGATTTTCAAACTTTCTCCAAAAAGCATAATCATATAGCTTGATCGTGAATGAAATACTTCTGACAACAGAATTATTACAAAACCAGATCATACAAACTCACTAATCATACCGTATATCTCATTTCATACTTCCGAGTGAATTAATAGAGCATATATGGGATCATCATTCTCTATTTCATAATCCAAAAATCATCGATCACATTTTCAGCCTCATATTAACAAGCTCTACCTTCACACATCGCATACATGCACAGATCGATCCAATTTCCAACATATAAGACTAATTTACAGGGATTCTATTATTGAAACAGGATTTGGAGATCAGAGGAGAGTGGTGAAACCTGAGAAGGCTTTTCGGAGCTGCTCACAGTCATCGGCAACAGGGGGAAGAGGTTGAGGCACCTTCAGCGTGGACATTGTTTTGCTGTGTAACTCTCTCTTTCACACTCTCTCTGCCCTGTGTTGTGTTGTGTTGTGTGAGAAAAAGCAAATCGGAAACGATCAGAAGGGGACAACAAAATCGCTTATGCGTAGTTAAAGTCAAACGTGTCTGTCCCACCGATAATGTGACATGCAATTATGCAAATGGCTGTATACAGACTTGGCCACGCCACATGCTATCCTCATTTCCCGCCATTCTTTTTTCAATAAAATGAATAATAATTCTTCTGTGGTCAATCCAACATTAGAATATAAGCGCGTGGATCAATAGATGAGGTTACGTTTAGAAATACATTAAAAAGTATACATATATTTGTATTACGTAGAAGTTATAACCAGTAATCAAGTGAATTTATACGCATTTTAACGTGAAACTCTACATCTCGACGTAGAGTTTCTAAATAAAATAAAATAAAATCGAATACCTGTTTGATGAATGGAGTGATGATGTGATCCAGAGCAATAATCTACTGTTAGGAGAGTTAGTGACAGAGGGGAAATGATAATAAGTAAAAGTAAGCATCCATAGGAATTTTTTATAAAAAGTTATATATTTATTATATTAAAATTATAAAATTATAATAAATATTTTCCTTTTAATAAAATTTTACATCCTAACAATTTTCGTAAATAAATATTGGTTAGTGAAATGGGCTGCAAATTCATTGTCCTAATGGAAGTGGGAGAATTTCTACTTTCTAGAATCATTTAAGGGGAAAGGGGATCAATATCTCCTCCAATTGTGGTGGAAAGTAGACATCTAGTTTTATTTTTGCTTAATAAAAAAAAATTTAGAAAATGACAAGCAGATTTGTTTAAGTGAATTATTTTGACTTAAAACAAATTTTGTGCATTTAAGGAGATGGGGGCTGGGTGTGGAAGAAATAGAAGACTAAGGATAAATGGAAATAAGGAGAGCGGATGGTATAGGGGTGACGGTAGAGGGAGAGGAGGGTGGAGAGTTAAGAATGGAGGAAATAGAGAGAGATAGGTATAAGGTGGGGGTGAAAGTGAGAAAAGGGATTGAGGAGTTGGATATAGGGTGAAAAGAAGATGAAGTTAGGAGAGGAAGAGAGGAATTGGGTATGAGAGAAGGAAGAAGTTTGAATATTGAGATTGAGGAGGAAGAATTAGGCATGGAGAGAAGGAGAAGAGAAGATTGAGAGAGAAGAGTAAAATTTGTTTAAGCCAAAATAATTCGGTGAAACAAATATGCAAAATTCATTTCAGTCAAAAAATTTGTTTGAGCTAATTTTACATAAAAAATTTTGTGTTGTTTTTTGCATTTTTCCTTCAACCAAAAATAAAACTGGATGTACAGTTTCGCCATAACTAGAGGGGATCCGAATTCAGGAAAAGAGAGTTATTTATTGTAATACCCCAAATTTTGTAATATTGTTTAATTATTAATATATATATATATATATATATATATATGTGTGTGTGTGTGTGTGTGTGTGTGTGTGTGTGTGTGTGTGGATTTCCATATGTTGGTGTGTAGATTTACTTGATGGTGATTGATAAGTGTATAAAATAAGTTATTTGAGATGGTAACTTGAACACTTTTGTGTTAAAAGCTGGATTATTTTGTTATATTCTCTTCAAACTTAGAACTTTTACAAATACATATATATTTTTAGAAATGAATGCAATTCTAGTGTTTTAATCTTTTTTTGATCTATTTTGTAGCTGAAATCACAAGAGAAACATCACTTAAGGTTGAAGAAGATTAAAAAAGACAGAGGAGGAGTAATTGAAGCATGAAGTTGCAGAAAAGTCAACTTCTGGAGGTTTCTCACTACAGCGAGAAATATTCTCTGCAGCGAGAATGCGTACTGAAAAGATGGTAAATTTGTTCCCATGTCGCTACAAAGAGAAGTGGTCGCTGTAGCGAAAGACTTTGGTATCGCTGTAGCGAGAGTTAACGCTGCAGCGAAAAGAAAATAGAATGACCTAATTTATATCTCAATTTCTTGTTACAGCAAGGTCATGTCGCTGTAGCGAGAGAAACTCGAGCAGACCAATATAAAAGGCATTTTTTTATGTTCAAGTGGGAGGTTATTGTTCCAAAACCATTTCTAAAGGTCCAGAACGGAGCAAGGCAAAGAAAGAGAGTAGGAATACTCAGTTTTTTTTTATGTTTTCTCCCTTTTGTATCTCCATTTTTGTTGATATAGTTGCCATGAGCAGCTAAACCTTGTATAAGATTGAATGTAAATCTTCAAACCTGATGTATTCTCAGTAATCTATATAAATATAATTGTTTCTTCTTCATTTCTAATGATTTGGTGATCTCAATTCGTTTTAATGGTTGAATCTAGTTATTTAACGGTTTCTGAAGTTCAGATCTGAGTTGTATTTGGGAAGATATTATTTAGATCTAGATCTGATTGAGATTACTCAATAACTGGTTGTTCTAGGAATAGATTTTAAGTTGTTGATTGCTTTTAAATCCTGATTTTAATGTTGGATAGTTTATTAACTGTTTGAGGAATCAACATTTGAAAAATTATCTTAGGAATTTATTTTTAAGGAATTGAAATATATAACTTTCGTATTTTACATCAGATTCATTAGAAATAGTTGTTATATTTATCACTGGATTCTAGTATATAAAGGGAGAGATAGATGAAATTCAATCCCAGTTTTTTTTAACTTAAATTTTATCATATTTTACTTTAGTGCTTTACATTTTAATTGTTGTCTAATATTTCATGAAAATCATTCACCAATTCTATTGTATATAAGCTCAATTAATTTGTATCTTATTAATTAATACATTTGAATTGCTCTCTGAGAATGATATTTCGGTACTCTACCGGTTATTACTTGCAACAGACTCGGTACACTTGTCGTGTTTGAAGGAAAAGATCCAACAAGTTTTTGGCACCGTTGTCAGGGAGCAATGTGCAAATTGTATTAGTTTTAAGTATAATTAGTTGAGTACTGTAAGTAGTTTTAATTAATTTTCATTTATTTGATTACTCTTTGTTGCTAATCTTGTTTCAAGTTCCTTGTTTATGATATTGCGAGGAAAAGTTCCTGCAGAACAGTTGCTATTTGATCTAGAGATTGAAAGAACATCTAGAAGAAATAATAGTACAACAAGAAAGAAAAAGAAGCAAGCACAACAAGGGACATCTTCAATTTCACAACCACTAGAAAATTACTCAAATTCAGAAAAGGAAGAAATGGCAGATCCTGGAGGAAATAACCAAGGTGGCAATGAGAATGGTGGAAATGATGGAGGTAATGAAGGACCAAGAGCAAATCCACCCCCAAGAAGAACTCTTGGTGATTATGCCATGCATCAAGGTTCAAGGCACTATTCAAGTATAGTAGTTCCACCCAATGCAAGGGCTGTAGAAATTAAGCCTGCTTTCTTGAATTTGATAAGTTCACATCAATTCTCAGGAAAGGACCATGAAGACCCATATGCCCATCTTGACACTTTCTATGAGTTGGTATCCACTATGAGATTTGATGATGATGAGGAAGAGGCAGCATATTTGAAGCTATTTCCATTTTCTCTGATTAGGAAAGTAAAAGAATGGTTGAAATCACATCCAAATCAGAGTTTGACAAGCTGGAGTGATGTGGAAAGAAAATTTCTTACCAGGTTTTTTCCACCTTACAAGTATGTTAGTGCAAAATCTAATATCTTTACTTTCAGACAAGGTCAGGATGAAGCATTCTATGAAGCCAGAGAATGTTTTCAGTCCTTGCTTAGGAAATGTCCTAATCATGGGTTTGAAAATGTGGATCAGTTGAATATATTTTGCAATGGTCTTCGGCCTGACACTAAGATGATTTTGAATGCTGCTGCTGGTGAAACAATGATGGCAATAGATGCAAAGCAAGCCACAAGAATAATTAATGCTCTCTCATCCACTGACAGGCAAGCTTAGCATAATAGGAGGGCAGTGTAGAGAAGAGGAGTTTTAGATTTGAGCACATTAGACGTCATCCTTGCTCAAAACAAAATTTTGACTCAACAGATTGAAGCCCTCACAAAGCAAATGACCAAGTTGCCACAACAGCTTCATTCAGTTCATTCCACAACTAGCCAAGCAGTCAAATGTGATTTCTGTGGAGGGGACCATCAAAATGGCAACTGTGCTTACCCAAATTACAATGCAGAAAATGAGGAAGTTCATTATATGAGTAACCAGCCTCGAGGAGGTAATTTTTCTAACCCTAACTCTAATTCTTATTCTAACAAATTTTCACAGGGGTGGAGGCAGAACCAAAACCAAGGATATGGGTGGAGACAAGAAGCTGGACCATCCAACAGGCCACCTTTTCATCAGCAACCATCATACAACCACCAACAACAACAGCCACATTTCCCTCCAATTCATGAGAGGCAATTCAATCTGGAGGATACTTTAGAAAAATTTATGCAGATGTCAATGACCAATCAGAAAAACACTGAGACGTCCATAAAAAATCTGGAGACACAAGTGGGGCAGTTGGCAAAACAACTATCAAAACAGCAAACTTCAGGACAATTCTCTGCCAACACACAAACTAATCCAAAGGAACATTGCAAATCAATTACCACAAGAAGTGGTAAGGAGATTGGAAGAGTGATTGGTGATCATTTAGCAAATAAAGAGGATATGGAGAAAAGAGAAGAAAAGGAGAAAAAAAAGAGTGAAAAAGAAAAGAGTGGAAATGAGGGAGAAGTTGAAAAGAATAATGAGAAAAGTGTACATAGTGAAAAAAAGAAAGAAAAGGAGAAAAAAGAAAGTGAGAAAAAGAAGGATAAGGGTGAGCTTCCATAACTAAAAGATCTACCATACCCTAAGATTCTGTCCAATAGAGACAAAGAGAGATAATTTGTCAGATTCATGGATATTTTTAAAAGATTGCAAATCAATATTCCTTTCATGGAGGCTATGGAGTAGATGCCAACTTATGCTAGATTTATGAAAGAGTTGTTCACAAAGAAAATGAGATTTTCAGAGGAAACTGTGGAGTTAGAGGCATGTTGCAATGCAATAATTCAAAAATCTATACCTCAAAAAATAAAGGATCTAGGTAGCTTTATAATTCCAGTAACCATAGGTGCATTACCTGTGGAAAAGGTCTTGTTAGATTTGGGAGCAAGTATCAACCTAATGCCACTATCCATGCTAAAAAGGATTGGGGAACTGGAAATCAAACCTACAAGAATGACTTTGCAACTAGCAGATAGGTCTATGAAATTTCCTTATAAGGTTGCAGAGGATATCTTGGTGAAGGTAGATAAATTTGTATTTCTAGTTAATTTTGTTATCATGGATATGGAAGAAGATGCAGAAGTTCCTTTGATTTTGGGAAGATCCTTCATGAAGACTGCCAAAGTGATTATTGATGTAGATGATGGTAAATTCAAGGTAAGAGTCCATGATGAAGAAGTTAATTTCAATATCTTTGAAGCTATGCATCACCCCAAAGATAAACAACAATGCTTCAGGATGGATGTAATTGATGAACTTTGCATGGTGGAAAAGACACAATTGCATAAGTCCAATCCATTGGAGAAAGCTTTAATTGAAGCTTATCAGGACTTGAATGAAGAAGAGGAAAAGGAGATTGAAGATTGTTTGAAGAATCTTGAATCCTCTAAAGCACTACCTCCATATGAAACTCACCATGAAAATTTGCCTCAAGAAGAAAAGATAGAGGAGCAGAAGTTAGAGCTGAAAATGCTACCATAACATCTTAAGTATGTGTTTCTGGAAAAAGGAGGAAAGAAACCAATAGTAATCAACAGTGCATTATCAGAAAGAGATGAAAAGAAATTGATTTCAGTTTTATAAGCAAATGAAGGAGCTATAAGATGGACTTTATCAGATCTTAAAGGTATCAGTCCTTCATATTGCATGCATAAGATTCATATGGAAGCAGATTTCAAACCAGTGGCTCAACCTCAGCGATGTCTGAATCCTACTATGAAAGAGGTTGTAAAGAAGGAAGTGATGAAACTGCTAGATGCTGGAATGATTTATCCTATTTTAGACAGTGCCTGGGTTAGTCTAGTCCAGGTAGTCCCAAAGAAAGGGGGAATGACTGTAATAAAAAATGACAAGGATGAATTGATTCCAGCAAGGACAGTTATTGACTGGAGAATGTGCATTGATTATAGGAAGCTTAATCAAGCTACTAGAAAAGATCACTTTCCTTTGCCATTTATAGATAAGATGTTAGAGAGATTAGCTGGGCAAGCCTTCTACTGCTTTCTGGATGGATATTTTGGGTACAACCAGATTGCTGTAGATCCAAAAGATCAGGAGAAAACTGCTTTCACATGTCCATTTGGTATTTTTACTTATAGAAAGATGTCATTTAGATTGTGTAATGCACCAGCTACTTTTCTAAGATGCATATTGGCTATCTTCTCAGATCTGGTTGAAAGATGCATAGAAGTATTCATGGATGATTTCTCAGTTTTTGGATCATCATTTGAACATTGCTTGGCAAATTTAGACACTGTACTAAAGCGGTGTGTTGAAATAAATTTGGTGCTCAAATGGAAAAAATGTCATTTTATGGTAACTGAAGGTGTAGTGCTGGGCCACAAGATCTCCTCTAAGGGCATTGAAGTTGATAAAGCAAAAGTGGAAGTGATTGAGAAGCTACCACCACCAACAAATGTAAAAGGAATCAGAAGTTTTCTTGGGCATGCTGGGTTCTACAAGCAATTCATCAAAGATTTTTCAAAGATTGCAAAGCCACTCAGCATCTTACTCAATAATGATACTTCTTTCAATTTTGATGCTGAATGCTTACATGCTTTTGAATTACTTAAGCAAAAACTAATTTCAGCTCCTGTCATAGTCGCCCCTGATTGGAACTTAGACTTTGAATTAATGTGTGATGCTAGTGATTATGGTGTAGGGGCTGTACTAGGACAGAGAAAGTCTAAAATTTTCTATGCCATTCACTATGCTAGTAAAGTTTTAAATGAAGTACAAGTGAATTATGCTACCACTGAAAAAGAATTACTAGCAATAGTGTATGCATTGAAAAAATTTATATCTTACTTGATTGGTTCAAAAGTTATAATTTATATTGATCATGCTGCAATTAAATATTTGTTAACTAAATTTGATTCAAAACCAAGACTAATTTGATGGATTTTGTTATTGCAAGAATTTGATTTAGTTATTAAAGACAGAAAAGGTAGTGAAAATTGTGTTGTTGATCATTTATCAAGATTAATGAACCAGAAGGTGACCAGCAAAGAAATAGAGGTGATATAGGAGTTTCTAGATGAAAAACTCCCCTTGGTGAAAGAAAGGCCATGGTTTGCAGATATGGCTAATTACAAAGCAACAGGCGTGGCACCAGAAGACTTTAATTGGCACCAGAAGAAGAAATTTTTCAAGGATGTTCGGTACTATGTTTGGGATGATCCTTATCTTTTCAAGTTGGGAGTTGATGGATTGTTACGAAGATATGTGGCATCAGATGAAATTCAGAGTATTTTGTGGCATTGTCACAGTTCTCCTTATGGTTGGCACTTCAATGCAGAGAGGACTGTTGCAAAAGTCTTCCAATCTGGCTTTTATTGGCCCACCCGGTTTAAAGATGCCTACAATTATGTCCAACAATGCAACAACTGTCAAAGATCGGGTAGAATTTCAAGAAGACACGAAATGCCCCTTTCAAGCATTCTGGAAATTAAAGTCTTTGACTGTTGGGGAATAACTTTGTAGGACTACTTCCAACTTCATATTCGAATGAGTACATCTTGGTGGCAGTAGACTACGTGTGAAAATGGGTCGAAGCTATCGCATTTCAGAAGGCTGATGCCAAAACTGTAATAAAATTTCTAAAGAAGAACATCTTTTGCAGATTTGGCACACCAAGGGTATTAATCAGTGATGGATAATCTCATTTTTGCAATTCTCAAATGTAGAAAATTCTAGAACATTATGGGGAAAGACATAAGCTAGCATCACCCTATCATCCACAGACCAATGGACAAGCAAAGGTGTCAAACAGGGAAATTAAACGCATTCTGGAGAAAACTATAACATCCTCAAGGAAAGATTGGTCGTTGAAATTGGATGATGCACTTTGGGCTTATAAGACTGCATTCAAGTCTCCTACAGGTCTCTCTCTATTCCAACTTATTTTTGGAAAAGTGTGTCACTTGGCAGTGGAAGTTGAGCACAAAGCATTTTGGGCTTTGAAGTTCCTCAATTTTGATCCAAAGGCTTCAGCTGAAAAGAGAAAGCTTCAATTGCAAGAACTATAAGAGATGAGACTCACTGCATATGAGTCCTCAAAGCTTTACAAGGAAAAGATGAAGGATTATCATGACAAAAAGATCATCAAGAGAGAATTCAGGCCTAGCCAATCTGTACTACTATTTAATTCTAGGTTAAAGTTGTTCCCTGGAAAACTGAAATCGAAATGGTCAGGACTATTTCTTATGAAAGAGGTCAAGTCTTATGGAGCTGTGGAATTGCAAGATCCAGCTACTCAGAGAAGTTGGGTTGTCAATGTATAAAGGCTCAAGCCATATTTAGGTTGTGAAGTGGAGAGACTCACCACTATTATTTCACTACATGATCCTTAAAGTAACAGGCGTCAAGCTATGAGACGTTAAACAAGCGCTTCCTGGGAGGCAACCCAGTGTTTGTTTGTGAAATTCTACCTTTTATGTTGTTTGTTTTTAAGTTCTCATTAGTTGTTTAGGGTGTTAACTTGACTTTTTGTGATTTTGTGCCTGATTCACGGTATTCATTTCTATTTTATTGTGGTGAACTTGAATTTTGTATGTAAAGTGAAATGATTATGAATGACTGAGTGATTAAAGGGTAGAAAAATAAGGGATTATGATAGGGGTAAAGGGTGCTAAACTAAATCTAGGAAAGTGAAAATGTAAGTTTCTTACTACAGCGAGAGAATTTTCGTTGTAGCGAGAGTGGAATGAAAAAATGGAGTGAAATTGTAAGCTTGTCGTTGCAGCGAGACACTTCACGCTGCAGTGAGACTTTGCTTGCTACAGCTAAAAAATTAGATAAAAATGCATCTCAGTTTATGATATTTTCACTATAGCGAGAGAGCCATCGCTGTAGCAAGAGTGCCTTGTAAATAAACATTGAAACTGTTGCCTTGTCTCTACAGCGACACAGTGGCCTAAAATTAAGAGGGGAAGTTGTCTTCCTCTAGCTACAGCAAGAAATATGTCGTTGTAGCGAGAGGCTCGCGACCTAGTTTTTAAAATATAGAACAGATGGCTATTTCATCATTTTAAACGAGCCCTCTTCCCCCCAAATCTCTCTAATCTTTTCCCCACCACTAATCGCTCAAGTCTCTCTCTTTTTCATTCAAGGTTTTGCTTAATGAGTCAAGGGTAAGTGTTCTTTTCCTCTTTTGCTTTTATTTTGCCCTTTTTCTTTGTTATTCTTCCCACAACTCATGAACCCTAGATTTTTTTTTGTGTAAAATCATCAGCAATTACTAATTGAAATGCAAATATAGGGTTGTAAATATGTTGATTTAGTTGTTTTGTTGTTAAATGTGTATTTCTCAAACCCTAGGACCTAAAAATGTGAACTATTGATAGTTAGAGGTGGTTCTGAACTTGCAGGGAAATTAATCGCAATTGTAATTTTGGGCATAAAAGTGTAAATTCTCCATGAACCCTAAGTTTTTAGTTAAATTAATTTGAAAAGATGAATTTGAAATGTAGAGATAGGGTTAGTTAGAAGGAATGTTGCTAAGGTTTTGTGAACAGTTGAAAATGACAGTTCCTTAAGTGTTAAGTTCCCTGAGCTCTCTAACTTTTCTGATCCTGTGAGCCCTAAAATTTGGATTACTAATTAAAAAGGGGGGTATTTTGGATTGAATGGAATTTTAAGCAATGAAGGTGCATATAATTTAGTTTAAGCTGAATGTTTATAGTTGATTACAACCTGAAATGCTTTAATTGAAATGTATTGTTTTAATTTTTGGATGGAAGTATTGAGTGAATTTACTGATAATAAAGTAGTTGCTCACATGTAATTGATCATTTTGTGATAAGTTATTGAGTTATGTGGCTGCTGTCTTGGTAATCTTTCAGGAGGATTAAGGTTAGAGCTCATAAAGACCCAGCTCCTCCATCAAAGAAACAAAAAGGAGCTTCCTCTTCACAGCCACCACCATCCGATCCAAGAAAATTTAGAGACAAGGACAGAGAGGACAAATTTAAGGAAATCCAGGATTGGTTGATAATTGAGGAAAAGAGAATTGATTTGAAGGAAGGCAAGTATGATGACTTCAATAATGAAATTGAGAGGCGCAAATGGAGAATATTGGCTGAGCCGAGAAGTATTATGACCCCAAAATTATTAAAGAGTTTTATGCCAATGCCAAACCAGAGTTTAATTCAAAAAGGCTTAATACAAGGTCTAGGGTAAGAGGAGTCTGGGTTGATTACTCCAGAGATGCCATCAACAACTTTTTGGGGGAATCCTTTGCAGCTAGAAGAGGGTGAGACAAGGGTGAGACAAATTTCTTTCATACAAAGCTCACTTCATGCTTCCAACCCTTCAGTGATACTGCTACCGCTCAAGCCTTATGCATTGCAAACAGAAGTTACACCTCAAACCCTGAAGGGAAGGCTCTGCAGATCTACAGGAAGAACATGACCACCTTAGCTCAAGTGTGCACCACATTCATATGCCATAACATAGTCCCCAAAGCCCATACTTCATCCATG